AAAAAAAAAAAAAAATCAATGGAAAAAACATCCTTGGGTGAGGATTAACAACAACAAAAAAAACATAAACCACCTCCCTGGCCTACCATCTACCAGAAAAAACCCATTTATTGCCCATATTACATTTAGTCCACACAATTTCTGAGACAATGCACAAAGCGCCAGCCACACAACTCCCACCAGCATAAATACGCAGAGTACAAAGAATGTCCTGTCAGCAGGGCCCAGGGCACACCCCACAGCAAAGGGAAATGACGATTTGAGTCATAGGATCAGGAGTGAAACCAAATTTGGGACTTGGCGGCAGTGTGATGCTCTTCCCTTCCCTTCCACACCATCTATTCTCCTCTGCCCAAACACTGCCCATCACATAGTCTCTAAACAGGCCATGTACTATGGATGTCCAAACAGCTCTATACTGAGATGTCAGAAACCACTAGAGATACAACAAAGTGCTACTTGGGAGTCTCATCTGGAATCACAGTGGTAGCATATGTGTAAACTCACATTTTTTTCTTAAGAAATGGAAAAAAATCAATTAGAATGTTTTGCCTTACCACACGGAATGTTGGAAATCCAGGTGTCAAAACATCAAATGTGGAGTAGCCACTGATTTTTTAAAAGCTTGAGATATTGAGCCTGACAACTGAGAAATTAAGGAGCAACTCATTTTTACACACAACGGTAACAAAGTAGCCAAAAGTGTGGCTGACTGAGCACCTGAGTGTCAGACCTCCAACAGCTTGGAGCCCCAGCTTTTCAAAAGGCATACATTCTGCTCTAGAGTATCAAGAGCCAGACGTGTGTCTGGGTGTTCTCTTTAGTTCCCACAGAAGGAGTGCGGCAAGTACATGCCATTAGCCATGGACTCCACTGTTCTGTGACAGCTTTCAGAAGGCTATCCTTCCAGGGGACCACACAGCAGTTCCCATATCTGAAAATACATCACCACTGCTCACTAATGTTAACCAGGAAGTCATTTACCCAAAACCAAAGCAAACAAAGCACCATGCTGAAGACCACTGGGCAACAGCAGCAGCAGCAGGTGAAAAGCTCAGCCAAAGCGCTTTCAGCTCAGCTGACCTGCTTCAAGGTGAACTGAAGTTGCAGATCACCAGTTCCGGCTCTAATCTGACGCCCGCCCCCAGATCACGCTGTGGCTACCAAGTAATCCTACCCAAACTGACCTTTCAGGGCTCAGGGAAGTGACTTTTTTTTATTATATGGCACAGTTTGGCACAGTTATGTCTTTAGTCTTTGGGGTACTTTTATACTGTCCAAGAGTAGTATATCTTGTTTTTTTTTCCTTTTTTCTTTAAAAACAGATGGCCAAACCAGGACATATACTAAAAAAAAAAAAGGGAAGGTTACTTACCTGAGCCCTAACATTCCAGCTACCATGGAATCCTGTTGGAGCTGGTCTACAGAAGCAAGATGTATTCTGGGGAGTCACATGTCACATCAAAGCAGGAACTGGTGAGTCTGTATTTTTATGGAGCCTAAAACAAAGAAAATTGTAAGTTGAAAGCCCCCATTGTGCTGCACGACCTTTTTCCCAGGGCTATTTGGGACATTTTGAAGATAAACATATAGACAAAGTACTATGCTATTTCCCGGCTTACCTAGCTAGAAACAAAGGATAAACTGCAAATTACTGGCACATAACACACAGTGCTAAAATAAAGAAAAGATTCATGCATGTTAGAATCAACACTATCACAGGTCTTGTCACCTCTGAAGCACACTTAGACACTATAAAGCATATCGTTAGTGGTGATCTCTGGTAAGTATTTCTTGTACCATATCATACAGAAATACTCAGGGATAGAATGCATGTTCAAGAGAACATGCAACATTAATATCTCATCCCCAAAAGAACACATAAAATCCAGAGGCAAAGTCTCTCTTCTTTTTCAAGCTGAAGCTACAACAAGCTGCTGTAACGTCACATAAAGGGGCTTTAACCCTAAGAGAAAAAAGCAGTACCAACAGAAACCATGTATCCTGGGAGATTCAAAGCCATCCTCCAAAATACACAAGTCTGACTCAGAGCAATCACTTCTTAAAAGCCTCTCAGATCAGTAAATTGTAATGTTCGAACGTTCAACAAACTGAGTTATTAGTTTGACAGTTTTTCTTTTGCTTTTGAACACATGTTCAAAAAAGGACTTTTGTCATCAAACTTTTCATCATTAAGATAACTATCGTTCCCTGTTAAAACCTAAACTGGCCCATATTAGCTAATCTCTGATACCTCGCTGGCCCAAAAGTAGCATTTTCTTCTTTAGACTAAAAAAGCCTAGCATGTACAACTTAGAGACTATTCAAATAACGCAGAGAAAGGGCAACACCAACCAAGTCTTTTACCTATGGCTGGTCTGTAACTACCAGGACGGTACCTAAAATTATCTATTGAGGTGCAGTGAGGCCTTACAATTCCCTTAAGCAGTCGAGTCATAGAATGCTCTGAAATCCCCAAAGTCAAGGTAACAGTATTACTAGTTAGCTATATAATAAAAATCAAACTGGTATCTTGGCTGGGAGGCCCTGGAAAAGCCACAACTTCTCACAGCCACAAATGTTTTTTACTTATAAACTGAGGGAGCTGGACTAAGGTCCCTTCTAGCTCTGAAAGTTTAAGATCTTTAATTAATCCAAGATTTCATGGGGGAAATAAAAGAGCCAGCAAATGAGAGAAGTTAGGTGAAAACCCAATAAATCAGTGATTTGCAGGTCCATATATATAACACCCCCAGCTCTTAGGCAAGAAGACAAGTGACCGCTTCCTCAGGCTTGCTCCTGAGAGTCCAGACTTCTGCAGTAACAGCAAAACAGCTATAGTGAGAATACATCCATATGCCAGCAGACCCAACACAAACGTGCCTTGAAAAAGCTATAAAGGCCAAGGCTTTATTCTCTAACAGAATGGCCACTTCACCCTTTGAGTGGGGATGCCCTACCCATCCCCAAATTCTCATTTCCACTCAGGTCCCCTACACACCATCAGAGTGGTGGAACCAAGTTTTTAAGCAATGGCATGCAAATCAAGTTTTCATAGGTAAAGGTTTCTTGCAAGAAAAAGGCAGAAGAGAACAAGCAAAGGCAGAGGAGCCCAATCTTCGTGTAAGTGAACCCAAATAAGAGGAACGCATTTATATCTGTCCTATCCAAAACAAGGTAGAAGCACAGTGGTGACAATGGCAGTTTGCCTGAACAGGGCTGGTACAGAAGCATTGAGGACAAGGTCCTTCTGTTGAAGTGGCAATAATGCTCTACCCAAGAAAAAAATGTTGTGTCCCTCGGCCACAGGAGACTGGTCTCATGTCGCCATAACAGAGGGCAGTGAATACAAGCAAGTGTTCTGCCTAAGTGTCTGGAACTCGTCCTCAGTCTAGGACTGTTCTTTACCCCTGTGCATTTAAAACACTAGTTACTACAAACATCAAACTAAAACATCAAACATTTTCTGTGATTCTCCCCTCCTCACAGATACTCAGGCAGCCTGCCAACAAACTGCTCTTAGCCAATTAAAAGATTTCCACTGATATTCACCTTTATAAAAGATTACTGGTTCCAGGACACATCATTTATCATGCAAATAGTTCCAGGCAGGTACATTAGTGGTGGAAACTGGCCTTGAGACAGGAACTAACAATTTTACCTCTGCTCTTTATTGTAAGTTAAAGAAGTGAGATTCTCATTCCGTATCTATGTGGGAGAAGGAGTATTTGGGTGGGGGAAACATCATACTGCAGTCATCTAGCTAGTTTTTTGTCAAACTCCACAGCTTGCTTCCCCATCCCACTAGATTCAGCCTGGCAGGCAAGGCAAACAATGACTCTGGCTGGGAATTGCAAATAGAATGCAAAAACTGTATTCTAACCCCACCAATACACAGAACAGCACAAAAGTCGGAGCAGGGTTTGACTGCATCATGCTCTGTCAGGTGAAACAAAGTACTCTAGGTTTAAAGCATTCCAGGCAAATTTGTAACAACAAGAAATAGGACAGTGTGATAAGCCAGTATGAGCAAGAAAGCCTTAGGTTTCTTCAAGCTGTCAGGACATGCTGACTTCAGATGCCACCAGGAATTTTGCACAGAAACTATATTCTGGAAGCTGCCTGTGCTGTTTAAGGGCTGGGGTATAACAAACAGCTAGCTGGAGGGCATCTGAGGAAGCAAACACATTGCCAACAATGGCAAAACAAAGCAGAGCCCCTGTCCTGTCACATCTCAAGTTCAGAAGTGCATACCTTCGAATCTTTGTCAAGTGAGGCTTGTGTGTCTGTGCGTGTGGACAGGATGTACCTCAGTGATCAGCCACCTAGCTGACGTGCCACAAATGGGTGCTCTGTGGCGACTTACTTAAGCAACTGTACTTCTACTAGATTGATTGTGCCCTTTAAGGTTCTGACAAGTGTAAGAAAATAAAAAGAAGTGTTTCCTAGGCTTCCTGACTGGGATTTGAAGTAGAAGTCTGAAAAAAAGCCCATTTCTCTGAATTCCGAGGGAAATTCCCAAAAGACCTAAAAATCCAGACCCTGTATTTTTTATAAGGATCCAGCATATTTCAAAAGACCCAAGAGGTCAGCTCAATTTTGTTATTAACTGCAATCACTGAGATCCAGATGAAAATTCCAGCTACAAAACCCAATTTTCTCCTCTAGAGTAGTAACTGCCTATTAACAGCGAATTTAACAGCGAATTTTACTACCAAGATCAGAACATGCTTCATTTTTCTAATATAACCAAAATGCCTACAACTTGTGAGTCCTACAAAGTCTAAGCCACTTAGCATCACACACGGTTGGTTTGGCTTCAAGATCACCAACCACCCCCTGAATTTGACCCTATCACCTCACAATTTAGGATACTGATCCCACACAGCAGACACAACATGTGAATGGCTCTGCAAAGCCCATTCCTGTTCCTGGAAAAATGATCAGAAGCACACATCTGCCTGACCATGAGTCAGGAATATCAATTTTGTGGTGGAGCCCATTTCTGCTGTGACCAATCCACACCCAACACACAGAGCGTTCCCCTCTCGGGTCCATACTTAGCAATGTCATAAACGGTCTCCTCTGTGAGAGCACTCTTTTTAGACTTCACAATGACCTTAAGTCTTCAGTGCAAAACCACAGACACATTGCCACCCCACGTAAAAGTCACCTGAGTTTCAGTTTGGGTGATTCAGTCATAACCAAACTAACTAAAAAGAAAATAAACTTTCAGGGACAAGTGACAGAAACCACAGCGATGCGATGAACTTGCCCCATCTGGTACTGGTGATCTTCGTGCTCCAGGACTATGGGAGCCCGTTACATACTATGTCCCACTCCACTTATGTAACTGGAAGATCGCCGGCGAAGGGGGGAGGATGGGAGGGCGCTCATATTCTGGGGCCAGAGCACCTCCAAAGACCCCGGGGGCGCGTTTCCACTGAAGAGCCTCAGGTGCTGTCGGACACACAATCCTGATGGGAACTAGAACAACCTCTTTAGGATGAGTTGTGGGACCAGGGGTACAATATCTAGTCCCTTTTGTGGGTGGACAATAATTCCCACCTACTTGTTCCTGCTAGACAGGAAAGGAGATGGTGGACGACTTGCTCACAATGGGGGGCAGAAATTCATGAAATGGGCGAGAAGGAGGGGGAGGAAAAGCCTGGAGATGGGGGTGAGAGCGCAAGAGCCCTTGTGGCGCACTCTCCCGACAGGAGGCGGACTGCGCACGCGCGCCGATGGGGGTGCCGAGTAACGGGAGAGGGGGCGCGCGAGGAAGGGAGAGGGGAGAGCGCGATCC